AGACGTGAGTTCGAATCCAGCGGCGACGACAATAAAATAGTTCTAATCTACAAATCATCCGAAATACCCCCATGAATTCATATAAATGATAAATGTGAAATTGTCCCTAAAAGATATGTGCACAGTGGAATGCCCTTTTGGGCTGACATGTTTGCCTTATGCCCCTGTCAGGCACGTGTTGCCCTTTCGCAATTGCACCTACAAAAACTTGGCAACTGCCGAGGCGTTTTGCAAAGTTGGGCAGCGTCCCGTGAGGGTTCATTGCAACGATGGGGATCATGGGGTCCAACTGATGACTGGAGTGTTTCCGCAAATTGTTTTTGTCATCGACCTTTGCCGCAGCGTAGCTGCGGCGGGTCCACTTGTTTTTTTCAAGAACAATCCCTGCTATCAGTGCTATGTTCATTCTAAGAAATTGTGGGGTTCATGTTGTGGTTCCTAAAGGTACGAACATATTGGTACCTGTGGGTCCTAGGCGTCATCATGGAGGGCGTTGAGAGTGGTTTGTAGGGGGCCAGTGCAGCATAGGGGTATAGTCTACCTTGAATCACGTGGAGGTGGGTTCGAAATGCGGGGTCCACAACCCTTGGTTGGCAGGTGAGGGCCCCCGCTGCGCTGGTGGTAGGGTAGTTCTACAGGAAACGGAGACAGTTTAGATGATGGAACCTGTGGATGTTTGAACACATACGAAGTAGACAATGGGCGTTATAAATGATATCATACGATACACGGTATATGAATATATATGATGTGACAATATATATCTATTATATCGGATAATATATCCTAATGAATAGATGATAATATCATGATATAGAGATATATAGCCCCTCGTTTGTTGTCCTCTTCTCCCTCTCTGCCTACGGTTTACCGGGCAGTTCTATTTGACGATATATACTAACCTAACACATATGTAAGAGATCTGAATGAAAACTGACTATTATTTTATTGTATGTAAAAAAACATTGTAAAACACTGAAAGAAATAAGAATACAGTGAAGCGAAGAAGAAGAGGACACTGTTTTGTGTCATTCTAGTTTGTCTGTCTCTTTGCATGCCTGTCCTTTCATTTTTCTTTTCTTCGCTCATCTTATTTCTTCTTCTACTTCACGTGTTTACGCTCTTAGTCAATAGTTCTGTGACAATACATAGATAAGAGTCATAAGACTGTTTGATTTTATGATTTATTAAATCTCTATTATTAAATCTCTATTATTTAAGTATGAAACAACAATTAGATAAGAATAAATAATACTGCAAGGAAAATAAGCAACAGCGAGATGACAAATTCCAGATTACACAATCACATTGAAAGCCAGATAGCCACACTGTGTCCAGAGAGCAGCATTGCACCAATAATACACCAATGGAGGTTCGTAGTACCGAAAACCAATGTCAAGGAGAGCTTTCTCTCTCCGCCACAACACAAGAGTCCAGTCCCTTCACACTCCTACTTGGCGCTCAGCGCCCCGCCTACTCCTACACAGCTACGATCAGCCTACTAATAGACAATGCAACTGTTGACATCAGCGGCAACCCGAAGTACTTGAAGATGTCGCCCAAATGCAGATCATCGCCAATACAAGGTATGTGCCCTCACATCATCATCATCATCATCATCATCCTTCGCCCTTCCCTGACTTTACACCCACGTACGTCCTCCCTTACACCCGAAGACCACTCATGCGCCTCACTGTAGTCCAAGCCCACCAGCTATGGTGGCTGGGCTATGGCGCTGCCCTCAGCACCTGCACGACCGCACGTGCTGCACCTCGCCTCTCAGCGCCAGCAGCGGCCTGCGAGCATTTGCTCCAGCAGCGCTGCCGCTAGCATGCGAGTGCCTGAATGAGGCTGCCTGGGGAGAGCTCTTTCCTTTATGGAAAGAGCTGGCCTGCTCGTGCAGCCTGGCTGTACTGGCCTGGGCCCAGAAGCTTCCGGAAGGCCCCAGGATGCTGCCTTTGCGCTGCAGCTACTGGGCCTCGTTCGGTTGGGTCTCCCAACTGTCAGTGTATGAGGCTGCGATTCATGCCCAGGGCCTGCATTCTTTGAAAAGGCCCGGTAGGCCGTGGAAATGTCTTGGTTGCTCGGCCTGTGTTTTTTTTTTCAACCAACTGGCGCGTCGCAACCGCCTGTACCCCAAATATGAAATTGACAGTCAAAGGCCTCTTGCAATATGTTAGGCCCGCCTTCACTTAGGGCGGGCACCACTGCAACCGGGGCCCCTTAGGCCTGCCGAGGACCCAGATCCTCACAATACTGTATTGAATAACAAGGGGGAATTGCATATATTTTTCTCTTTCTATATAGATATATGAATATAGATATGAGTTTGGCTCAACTGCCCGAGGCGCTTGCAGAGCACGCACTTCACTGGTTAAAGTGAGATAAACAACCACACACACAAAAAAAGGTTTTCCTGCAACAGAAAGATGAGAGCCAAAACTACTCAGTGCATCCATCCGGCTTAAGCGTCTGGATAATCCGGAATGCAGCGTGGCATGCCCGCAAGACCTAAGGCATATACAGAAGGCTTAGCCTACCGTCTTCACCCGAATAGAATGCCCGGTCATTATAGCTGTATTCGCCACAACTTTCAGCCCAGATATGGCGATAATCACCGGGCGTTTTATTTAGGTGAAGACGGTAGGGTCTTGGTACATAGCGAGATAAGAACCATGCAGAATTCGACAGACTAGAGACCAGCACAGATAGCGATACAGAACGAGAACAAACCGTGCAGCTGACCAACCAGCTGACCACATACAGAATGCTGAACAGTAACGAATAATCCAATTGCGGTAGACCACATACAGAATGTTGAATAACAATGAACAATCTGATCACATACAGAATACGGAAACAGTAGTGGAGGACATGGCTATGCTAGCTGGAGGGGTAGCACTTAGGGGACAGGCCTCTCACACGTTAGACCTTGGCTTAGACCATTAGACACTGCCCACAGCAGTAAGCATGAATACTGTGGTACAGACACCTGGATCAGGGGCATGACAAACGATGTGCTCATGGGGCTTGATTACGCCGAGCATCCAAAGTGCCTGTCTGACAAGGCTCATTGAGTAGTGCTTCAACCAGGGCTGGCCCTGCCTGCCCACCGCTGGTGCCTGTGACTGCTGTCAACAAGGGTCGTCCGCCAAGATAGGTTGATGATGGGAAGGGGAGCATCACCTGGGAGAGCGGTGAGCATCCTTGTAGGGAGTGAGCCTGAAGTAGGGGCGTGTGCTATCCTGAATCGCGGGTGGTGTGTCGGGCTATAGGGTTCACTGTGAGGTAGGCCATGCCGTGTAGGTGGCAGGATAGTATCACTGGATGGAAAACGGATGTCCTGAGTGCTGAAGCCTGAGGGCTGTAGATACCTGAACAGGGGGTGCACCGGGAGAAATATTGAGTTTAGAATGAGAAGGGGGGCTTCATGAGTTCAGGATGATTCCAAAAAAAAAAAAAAGAGGCAGAAGAACAAAGGAAAAACGAAAAGAAAAGTACCTGTGGATCCTGGGGCTGTAAGTTCTTTGGCCTCCTGCCTGTACAATGGTTCAGTGCAAGCCTATATAATGATGATGCAGGGTACTCTCGCTCTTTCTTCTCTCTGTGTGTCTCTCTCTCTCTGTGGCATTCAAAATGACTTCATCAATAAGGACAGAATATTCTTTTATTGCTATGGAGCCGTAGGATCAGAAATGATCAGAAGAGGAGGAGGGCGCTCAGGGCGGATGTTTCAAGGCCAAATTTGATGCGGGAGATGTCTCTCTCTAAAAGGGAAAAGATTCAAAACTTCAAAAGAACAAGGAGGGAACAATAATGAGGACAACTGATCTGACAATCTGACACATCTTCGTATAGTATTATTATGTCAAGCGAATGGTGTGTGTTGGACAGACCAATCAACTCTTTCCTTTTCCTTTCTGGACATCAAATGCACCAAGCCAAGCAGCTTGCCTTAAGGCAAGGATGAAAACGGGTTGGGGCCGAGCGAGCAGGATTGAAAAAAAAAGAAAAAAAGTCAGCAGGGTTTGTCAGAGGTTGGGAGTCTCAGGAAATGCAAATGAAAAAGAAACCCAGCCAGCCCATGATGTGGCTGAATGTTTCACCCATGTTACAGTACTACCTGATGATAAACACACCTGAGTTCGAGTCCTTGTGGATTCCTGATGATGGAATCAGCTGAATAATGGAAAAGAAACCCAGCCAGCCCATGTGGCTGAATGGTACCGATGTACTAACGGTTGATGGACAGACCTGAATCCTTGATTATTCCTGATGATGGAATCAGTTGAATAAATCAGAATCTTCCCTGAATTATCTGGGGCTGGTCAGTGAGATGATGATGACCTCAAGGCCATCACCCCTTTATAAAGAAAGAAAACAAAAGGGAAAGGAGGAAGAACAAGAGTAATGATCACATCTGACACATCCTCCCGTGTTATTCTTATTATTAGGGCATTATTATGATTATTATTGTTATTAAAGTTAATTAAACTAATCAGAACAGATTCTACACTTCATCCTAGCTGAAAGGCTGAGAAAGGTGTTAATGGCATGAAAATGGTGTGTGCCTTTACTTCTTTTTTTGTCAAAGTGGAAAACTTTATTACAAGCGGGAACCGGGACTGGGGCCAAGTCCCATTCCCACTGTTGAGCTAGCTTAACGTTGACGTCGTTGAGTTTTCAACCATGTGTGGTATCACAGGACACAGCCCTGCCTTAGATCTGTTGGAAATCTATCAGCAGGGAAATGTAGGAAGATATACAGCACTCCGGGACATTCGTTAAGACACTTGAAGAGGAATGGAACAATTATAGAGAAGATTAGCATGGCCCCTGCTTAAGGATGACACACATAAATCGAGAAAGGGTCCAAATTCAAATTGGAAAAAAAAAACAAAACAAAACGAAGGTATGCAGCACAAATCTATGAGATTTCACGTATTACAATTCATTTTCTAGAGGGGTGTGTCCCCTCTGGATGTATCTCGAGAATGTCACGCTTTTCTTTGTTATTAAATCATTTTCTGGATTCTTGTGTGGATTGACATCCATTTCTGGCATGTTTTTTTTTTTTTTTGCCATGTTTTGGCTGCTTGAAGAGGGAAGGAAATCTTGGCTCCATTGAATTTATCTACCCCCATGCAAGTGGGGTGATAGTTCCATGAGTGAAGGCATTGCAAAGCAAGGGCAAGGTGAGACACAGGATTCATCAGAATGTGGTGGGGAGGGGGGGCCTGATTTCAAACCTCGACGTTGTTTTGGTCTTTTGGGCAGTGGATGCTCTGTGCAGCGAAAACTGTTGACGACTCCACATTCACTCACATAAGGCAAGCAGCACAACCTGATGATCAGTGACCAACCAATCAGCGAGGCAACAAAGCTGCAAGGCAGTGAGGCAAGAGGCTGCGAGCCAAAGGGCAGCAAGGGAAAAGGCGGTGAGGGAAAAGGAAGTGAGGCAAAAGGCAGCGAGGCAAAAAGCAAGGAGGTGACACAGAAAGACTAGGCAAGTGGATGAGCAGCAAGACTGGGAGGCAACACAGACAAAAAGGCCCATACAGCCATCACAGGCCAAAAAAGTCCATCACCAACTCACACCACAAGTGGAACACCGCAGACTGTTGCTTCATACCGCCCTTGTAGCCAGGAAGCCACTTCGACGAATGCCTGTCATCACCCATGGAACTCCCAGAGACGGACTCCCCGAACAAAGAAGCCCCCCTAATAGTGCTGCAGACACTCCAAACAAACAATCGTTGACTATGTGGCATGGCAGTTGCTCCCTTAGACACAGGAAAATTACTTGTGGAATAAAAAGAAGGAAATAAAAAATAAGGTACGCATGACTGTGTGTGTGTGTGTGTGTGTGTGTGTGTGTGTCACATATGACACGTAATGGTATGACACGGAAACCGTATCATATAATATCTTCAAGGTTATATATCGGCACAGCCTCCGCTAGTTGCATAGACAACAGGGGATTTACCACACCATCATCCCATTTGTTGGAATTCATTGGGTTTGAACAGGGCACTACGTCCAGTGATAGCACAGGTCTCTCGCCCAGAGGTTACCTTCTCTGAACACTTTTTGCTTCGTAGGTGGGTGGTAGGTTCAGGAGGTGTTATAGATGGTCGTACAATTAATTTGAAATTGCAGTTATCCGACGTAAGTTCTCTTATTTCTAAGCCATGGACTGCTTCAAGTCCCATCATGTGCACGAAAGTCCAATACCTTCCAGCAGGAAGATCCACGCCTCGTTATCCGATAATTTCCATCATACAGTAGAAGGGGGGCAAAGGATGTATTCTTCTACCCATCCTTTGTTTTAGACCGAAAAGAGCTCGTCAATTCCCACAAATTGATGCTTCAAAAAATTGGATCGGTGCAAGGAAAATAAGCAACAGCGAGATGACAATCCCAGATCACACCATTACATTGCAAGCCAAATAGTCACACCGTGTACAGATAGCAGCATTGCACCAATAATACACCAATGGAGTTTCCTAGCACTGAAAACCAATGTCCGTGGAGAGCTCACTCTCTCCTCTCAACAAAAGAGTCCAGTTCCCTTACACTCACACTTGGCGCTCAGCGCCCAGCCTATTCCTACACAGCTACTACAGAYTACAAAAAGACAATGCAACTGTTGACATCAGCAGCAGCCCGAAGTACTTGAAGATGCCGCCCATGCAGACCATCGCCAATACAAGGTACGTGCCCTYACATCACCATCATCATCATCATCCTTCACCTATCCCCTGACTTCACCCACACCTGTCCTCTCTGTCACCCGAAGACCACCCYTGCGCTTCACTGTAGTCCAAGCCCACCAGCTATGGTGGCTGGGCTATGGCGCTGCCCTCAGCAGCGCCCTCCTCCTCTGCACGACCGCACGTGCTGCACCTCGCCTCTCAGCGCTAGCAGCAGCCTACGAGCACAAGCTCCAGCAGCGCTGCCGCCCAGCATGCGAGTGCCTGAATGTCCTGGCCTGGCCAGAGCTCTTTCCTTTATGGAAAGAGCTGGCTGCTTTCGCAGCCTGAATGGGCTGGCCTGGGCCCAGAAGCTTCCGGAAGGCCCCGGGAGGCTGCTTGGATGCAGCAGCTATTGGGCTGCTGGGCCTCGTTCGGTTGGGCGCCCATCTGTCTCTGTATGAGGCTGCGATTCACGCCCAGGGCCTGCATTCTTTGGAAAAGCCCGGAGGGCCGTGGAAATGCCTGGGTTGCTCGGCCTGTGTTTCTTTCAACCAACTGGCGCGTCGCAAATGCCTGAACCCCAAATATGAAATTGACAGTCGAAGGCCTTTTGCAAAAAGCCAGGCCCGCCTTCACTTAGGGCGGGCACCTCCGCCTTCACTTAGGGCGGGTAAGGCTGCAGACAGGGCCCCATAGGGCCTACCGAGGACCCTGATCCTCGCATTCCCTCCTCCTTAACTTCGTGAGTCCTCTGAGAAGTCTATTATTCTGCAGGCATCTTCCCTTTCCGTTCTCTTTCATAGCCTGCAATCACGTGAGGTGCTCTTCTCATGAGTTTTTCTCGTGTGAACCACCGATCTTCTTTAGGATCCAGATGATGTCTGAAGCTCACACGATACTGCATTCTTGGTTTTGGAGGTCGCCCTCTGCCTGATGGTCGAGGAACAGGCATCATTCGATGCTCGACGATCTGGTCAATGTCCACTTCGCCATCCATGGTTGGGGGCAGCATCGATCTCCGAGAGGGAAACTGGTCTGTGGCAGAAAAAGGTGCCAGCTTGGAGGCATGGAAAACAGGATAGGTCCGTAAGTGTGCAGGGATGCGAATCACGTAGGAAGGCCATCCGGTTGATCCCTTACAATATCTAAAATCTCCCAGGGCCCGAAGTACTGAGGCATCAGTTTCCTTGAGATCCCTATCTCTTGTCCCAGTTCAGATGATTTCAGCCAGACTCTCTCACCTACCTGAAAGTTAGAAGGCCGTCTATGTTTGTTCTCAGATGCAATCATAGCATCTTGAGACTTCTGAATATGTTCAACAGCCTGCTTGAGCAACTGTTCATACTTGACAGCAAACTCTATGCTGCCAGGTGCTGTAGTAGGTTGTCTTTCTGGTAACAGAAAGTCAAGCGCAGATGTGGGCTTCCAACCAAGATGTAGCTGGTTGGGAGTCATACCGGTGGTGCTGTGCACAGCATTGTTGTACAGGCTGGCGACGAGAGGTAACTTTTCGTCCCAGTCATCCGGGCTTGGCTTAATATAATGCCTAAGCAGGTGCTGAACTACCCGGTTCATCTGTTCTGCTTGGCCATTTGACTCAGGGTGATTCCCTGACGTCATCTGGAGCTTTGTGCCCATTTGCTCAGCAGTTGACTGCCACAGCTCACTTGTGAACCTGACATCCCTATCACTAACGATCGACGTAGGCAAACCGAAGTCACGAACCCAATTGTCCATAAACAGTTTGATAACGTGGTCAGTTTTAGCTGTTTCTGGCATAGCGATTAGTCTTGCATACTTGGTGAAACGGTCCACTATTACGAAGATGTGTCTCTTTCCAGACTTACTGGTCACAAGAGTATCCATGAAGTCCATGGACACACTTTGACCAGGACCTCCAGGAATCGGCAAGGGCTTGATGAGCCCAAGCGGAGCCTGAGTCCTCGGTTTGTCCCTTTGGCAAACCTGGCAGGTTTCAACATATCGTTTTGCATCTTCCATCATAGAGGGCCACCAGAATCTCTTAACTAAGTTTGTTGCTGTCTTCTTATAGCCAAAATGACCAGTTGCATCATGACACTCTCCTAAAAATAAACTACGCAAAGACTCGGTATTAGCAACACATAGTCTTTTATTCCCTGCCTTATCAAGGAACAACAAGTCGTCTATCATTGTAAATTCGTCCAAAGTCTTTTTATCCTTTGCCTTGAATCTACGAATGATCTCTGACATGACTGGGTCTCCCTGATAGGCTTCCACCAGCGATCGAGTAAGTTCCTCAGATATGCCAAACTCAGAAACTAGCGCGCCCAGATAATCTGCCCTTCTCGATAGCGCATCAGCCACTTTGTTGTACGTACCCTTGATAGGATCAAGTTGATAGTCATACATGTCTATCACTTGAATCCATCTCTTGAGTGCGTCCGACAAGACTGGCTGTGTCTTGATCCAGCGCAAAGTCTCATAGTCCGACCTCACATAAAAGAATCTTCCTAGGAGGTAGTGCCTCCAATGAACTAGCGCTCTATACATGGCGTAGAGCTCTCTCTCATAAGTGGACTTGGCCAACTTTTGAGATGGTATCTTCTTGCTCATGTACTCGATCGGTCTCAACTTGGGCCCTTCTTGTTGCGCAAGGACCGCGCCTATGCCATATTGGCTAGCGTCTGTGGTCACAACAAATGGCTTGTCAGGATCAGGAAGTTTGAGAACTTCATAGTGCGTCAGATCATACTTCAATTTCTTGAAGCTTGCTTCACACTCTTCAGTCCACTCCCAAGGGGTGTCAAGTCGAGTTAGATCCGTTAATGGGGAGGCTATAGTACTATAGTTCTTCACAAACGGACGATAATAGCCCGTCATCCCCAAAAACGATCCGACCTCAGTAACAGTCTGAGGTCTGGGCCAGTCACGTATGCTGGCCACCTTCGCAACTTCCGACCTCAATCCATCTGCTGAAATTTCATGACCTAGGTACAGGATCTTGGTGCGACCAAACTCGCATTTATCCAAGTTCACTTTGTATTGGTGTTGTCTAAGGAGACCTAGCACTGTTTTCAAGTGCTCAGCGTGCTCCTCTACAGTCCTACTAAAGATGAGAATATCGTCGAGGTACACGACGATAAACTTGTCCAAGTAGTCATGAAAGATCCGGTTCATTGCGTGCTGGAACGTCCCAGGTGCATTGCATAGGCCAAAGGGCATCACCACAAACTCGTACAGACCGTACCTGGTTTGAAATGCGGTTTTGTGCTGGTCCTCAGGTCTAACGGCAATTTGATGGTATCCGGACTTCAAATCTATCTTTGTGAAGTACAGACATCCCTGCACTCTATCCAAGAGGTCGTCAATGCGAGGTAGGGGCTCCGCGTTTTTAACGGTGATGGCATTGAGGCCCCTATAATCAATGCATATCCTTAATGGTCCTCCCTTCTTAGGAACAAATAATACCGGCGCACCATAAGGGGAGGTACTAGGCCGTATCCATCCCTTCTCTGTGAGCTCCTTGAGTTGGCGACGAAGCTCATCTAACTCCGCAGGAGACATCCTATAGATTCGTCCTCTGGGCAACTTACTACCTAGGACAACTTCTATTGCATGGACAACCTCCCTTCCCACCAGACCTGTGGGCTCCTCAAAAAGGTTTGAATATTCTGCGCCGACTCTTTCTATCTCTCGGGGTGATTTAACGTCCTCCCCTTTCTCAGAGACAAAGACTACATACATGCCCTCCTCTTGATTTTGCTTATAGTAGTTATAGAAGGATGAGGCACACATACACCCGTAGTTTTCTATTAAACTGCTAGCTTTATACTTTTGCAGTCTAACAGTTCTACCATTGGGCAATTTGTGGATCAACACCTTTCTATCCCTGTCAAACTGAGGTTGTGAGACTTCGAGGTAGTACATGCCTAGTAGTATATCGAATGGCAGTTCGTCGCTAACCTGAAAGGAGGATTTGTGGATCACTTCCCCTCCTCCATAGGAGAATGAACAGGCTACGTCCTTGACATATTCTTTCACTACCATTTGGTGCTTGTTGGCTAGCGTAGAAGCTACAGTTCTGCTAAGCCGCTGCACTTGGTCCCCTAAGCACAGTCTATCCACACAAGCACGACTGATGAAATTTCGTGTAGAGCCTATGTCTGCGAAGGCGCCAACCTTGCGGCCACCTACATCTACTTCTACCACGAAATGCTCACCCTTTGGACCTCTACTGATCATCGCCCAAGAGTCCCTGGGGTCCTTCCCTGACCACTCAGTTTCTAACTCTTCTAGGGCCTTAGACACATCTCTCGAACGGAGCGTCGGTGGGTCTGAATATGTCTGCGGGGCGATACGTGGGTCACTAGCCTTGGCCAATGCCTGAAGTGGGGAAGGAAACGTTACCACTTCAGCGCGAGTAAGAGCGGCTAACACTCCTACTGGCCCGAGATGTTTCCCTGTGAGCTGCTCGCAGAAGCACTCCCAGGGTTTGAAGATAGACCCACCACCATTGGTGAGGCTACCTTCGTGGTGACCTTCTTGCTGCGGCAAGTCCTGGACGTGTGACCATAATGGCCACAGTTCATGCATGTACCCCTAGCAACGCGGTCACGCCACACCTYATACTCTAAACCAATCTTCACCCATGCGGGTGTTCCTTGGTCGCCCTGACCCGTGGACCGTCCTACCTTCTTCTTCCCGGTCCCCCTAGCCTTTTTTCTTGATGGGTGCTACGACTCCACCATTTGAAGTCTCACTACCCCCATCGTGCTCTGTGAACTCCCCAAGATCTCAGTAGTCGTCAATCTCCGTCGTTTGACCATCGTGGTCAACGAACATTAACTGACCCTTTTTCTTCCAATCTTGGGGCAGTCTCTTCCTACCATCGTTGGGGGCCTGATGCGCAGATCCTAGCTTTGCCTCGATGTCCAGAGCTTTCTTACTAAAAGAAGCGAAGGTGTGCTGTTCAACATAGGCTTTGTCAACCAGCTTGGTCCTTACCTCTGACGGTAGGCACCTTAGGTAATCCGTTAGGAGAACCTGCTGGTCAAAACGCACACCAGGTACCACGGTTAATCATTCTACGGCGTTCGTCAGCTCTCTAACATTCTTGAACCTTCGGGAACAAAGACTGTTGATAGCGTCAGTGGCCTTCTGAGCCCCTTGTGGGTCATGCCACCTGTTGTATACGGACCGTATGAACTCTTCCAATGTCTGAGATTGTGCCCAGGCATCGAAGTTTTGACCGTAGCCCTGTTGCTGCGCTAAGCCATTTAACCAGCGGGCTGCTGACCCTTCTAAAAAGGAGGCTTCCTCTGGCCTTGTGAGCTTATGCCTCACATAAGTAGGCACAATTCTCACCCAAGTGTCCAAGTCTTCCTCCTTCTTCTTATCGCCAGAGAAGGGTTTGGGACTCGTCAAAGTTATCTTGGGCATCCACTGCATAGGCTGCATGGGCCCAGGTGCTTGCTGCAGCGGCTGCATAGCCACTGAAACAGGCTGTTGCATACTAACCTGAGCCTGGCTGGACAGTGGGACTGTAGTGACCACTGTTGTAGATGGTACGACTGAGACTGAATGAACCGGACCACTAGTTGCTACTAAACCACCCGGGGAGGGTATGCCAAACATGGGAGAGAAAGTTTGCCCTGTGCGTTGCGGCATCGATGATGGACCCGCAGCTGCAGGGGGAACTAGAGCAAACTGTGGCGGCCTCACTATAGTGCGAGGGCCTCGAAGTTCAGCGATAATTTGTTTCTGGCCTGCTACCAAATCAGCCAACAATTCCTGCTGAACGCTTTGTGCTTCCGCCACTGAAAGTAAGGCGCCTCGCAGCACACGGACAACAGGGTCTAATGTTGACTCATCGAGTCTTTCGAGTCTGCCTAGCTCCTGCGCTCTACTCTCTAGTCTAGCCTTTCTTTGCATAACTTTCCTTCTCCTCTCTACTACATCGTCCATCTGCCGCTGTAACTCATCCTGAAGTTCTTCTGCCTGCCGAATTTCTAAGTCCTCCGGCGTGAGTGGAGACTGGCTGACTCGCACATGACCAATCTGACTAATGGGAACCTGAGAACCACTCTGACTGACTCCTGAAGAAGTGGGCTGTGTAGAGGGTTGCGTCATAGATGAGGTAGCCATGGCTGTACTGATACTAACTGAAACTCTAGCCCTAGCACTGTCCTCAGCTGCCCTCACTCTCCTTGCCGCTGCCCTCTCTCTAGCCTCTCTCCTCAATCTTCTCTCGTCTCCTGGACCTAACTCCAAGAATGTCAAGGGTCGACTGCGGGCAGTCCTGCGAGTAGTCCTCCGGTCGTCCACTAGTAACTCCTCCTCACTTGTGTTTGCATCACTCATGAGCTACAGTGTGTGTGATCTAAACTAGAATCCACACTGAATCCTACCTTAGCTTGACACACATCCGCATATGATACACAACTACTTACGGTCGGCTGGAACAGAAATAGTTAGGTGATGTAGTTGCAACTCATGTCAGGTCCTATAGAATATATAAATTCTATTTTTGAATCACCCTGGAACAGATTGCACTACAGCAAAGATCTAATCTATCTGTAGCCGTCTGTCAGTTGTTAGCGAAGTCTATCACAACTAGATAATCAAAATAAAAATAACATCTCCTGTTGTCTCCTGTTGGAGATGTACACTGGATGGTAGATAGTTTGTTGATTGCCACTGTGAACAGTTACCGGAATCCCCCCCTCCCCCTGTATCCTTCTTGAGTAATCACTTTGTGTCAACGTCCCTGAGCATCTGGTTTAAGCAGCGTGTCTGAAGGTGTGCAATCCGGCCCACCCCTGTGCCCCAAGTCTTTGCCGAACATGCCAGCCAGTCCACTCTTATTTACCCTCGTACGGAAACGAGCCTTACACCCGGTTGATCTGGCTGATCAGGAGGAATATTGAGAGCACCCCCATCTCTTCAGGAATTATTTAACGTCGCAGTCAGGACGACGATCACAGCCAGATTCAGATCCGAGTCCCCATCCAGAATTGTTTGTAGACGGTCTGGTAAGTGTCTCGTAAAAGGCTGGCATGCCCGGGTAAACCTCTACTGCGCAAGCAGCAGTACCAAGGACTTGCGCCCAAGCATGCGTGTACTAGTCCCAGCGGGTTGGCATGGTGACCGTGACCCGAGTGCTTCGTCCAGGGCCCTTCAGAGGCTTCGCCCGTCTCCCACCAGCTTGCTGCCCAGGAAGAATGTCGACTCTCAAGGTTGAGCGCTCGCGACACCTCACATTGAGAGGACTCTCAAGACAGAACTCACTTCGTCACGGTAAGAAGAGATGAAGAGGGTAGATAAGGAAGAGAGCAACGTACCTCATAAATGCTGCCCCCAACCACAGAATTCTCACCGGTAACCTGATGTGCAATTATGATGACCGGTCTTTGCTTCGGCACAACCAACAGCAGAATGCGGTTCCACCTCAGCTTAATATGTCACATCAGCGAGTTCTCATCATCCAACATACATCCCGTATGTCACCACATAGCTCCCCGGCGTGTCCACACAACCCTGGGCCGCCTAATGCTCAACGCCAATGCCGTTGTCGGGGGACTGAAGGCTAGTCGGTCGCCCTAATACCGGGAAATTTACCCGCAAGAAAGTTGTCTAAGAAGGAATCGGCCGGCAGTTTCATCCGGCCGGCTGGGAGAAATTAGGGGTAGTCAGGTCACCCCTAATTTCGGATGTATCAATCGTCAGGACTAGCCCTAGAAATTGGCGAGAGGGACTACCGTTTCGCCACCCTCACGGCTACCTTAGTGTCTACCTCATTTTCGTCCGCTCTAGGCCTGTTTCAGAGACGACTGGCTGTGGGGCGGATAATTGAGGATAAGCCTTGACGAGGCTCTTTTACGGTGTCCCGGACGCGAGGAAGGGGCCCCACATTTAATTAAATTTAATATTAAAATTAAAAATGGGAAAAAGAATTAAAAGCAAAAGAAAAGAGGAGAAAGGCGTAATATTTATTAATTCTTTTAAAATCTTCGGTATTTAGTTTTAATGGGACCACCCTCAGTTACTGATTTTTCCGATAATTTAATTAAAAACATGAAAAGGGGATAAAAGCGATAAAAGAAAAAGAAAACAAAGAATTTTCGTTATTCGATTGGATTCCATCGGGATTTAATTTTGACAAGATTGTTTTTATTTTCGTTATTCTCGATGACAGAATTAAGAAATAAGAGAAATAAATGAAATGATAAGAAGGAAGAAAGAAACCATGATTATTAAATGGTCGGCGGAATCTTGCTCGATTTATTCGCTGTCGGAATAAACCCCTGGATTATTTATTTATTCTATTTCTGATGATCTTCACTACTTCGCGGTGAGTGAGATCTGTTTGCGTGACTTACCTCTTAGCCTGGCGACGAACTGTGTGTTGTGAGTGCGGGCTGGATGGACTGCAAGGGGTTACTCCCATGTTACTTGACTGTGTCGTACAGCTCCATTGCTTCGGTGTGGGTGCCACTTCGGTTCGGGAGAGTCGGCACTATTACGGGATTGCTTGCATCGGGATCGGTATTATCCCGACGTCGACGTACTTCAGGTTTGGTATTACTACGGGATTGCGGCATTCTATGGTATTCAATATGTTTCAGTCCCGACATTCAGGTTCGGGACCAGTGCTGAACTATCACAGCATGACTCCCAGGGTCCTGCATTGGCACGGTATAACAGCCTGAGATTGGTTTTCATGCACGGGATGGGTTCGACACCCGGGCAGTATGCTCCTCTATACTGTTTACAGGTTCAGAATTGTCACGACATGGCTGCACGGTTCGGCCCCGACATGATACAGCAGCCTGACCCTAGCCTTCAGGGTTGGGACAGGTACGGGACTAACGTGGTATGTGCGGCAGCACACGGTGTTTGGGATTGGTCTGATACAGGCTGCTGCTATTGGAGCAATCACCTCAGGCTTGGTGACTGGCTGGATTCAGCGTGATGACAGGCTCGGTTACAGGATCAGCTACTGGTAACATACTGTTCCTGGGACAGATGCTGTTTCGGGAACAAAAAACTGGCTCGGTGTCTGTCGCATGTGTGATCTGTACTGAACTGGCACGGATTACGACTATTGGGGACTACTAATTGGTACGTGGCACGGCAATTGTCCACGAGGGACTGCTGCATTTCGCTCTGGTCCTTCATCCATCGCGGTGAGGACGAATCGTCAAACCAGTGGTTCTCGGTTTTATGGCTTTGCAGCCTGAAGACGCGGGGGACTGAATTTGCTGTATACAGATGGACTCCGCCTATGGCCTGACCTGGGACAGCCTGGGTGTACTGGGCCGCTGGCCTGAGACGGTAATTGCGGACTTCTATGCCACGGGGGATTGAATTTGCTGTATACATGCAATGAATTGCAGTGGCATGCGAGCTGTACACTAACCTTGTTTGATGTTGCCTGGTTTTGAGTCCTTCGGGATTTGATCCCGCAACCTGTTTTGTCTGCTTGTTTGCTCGTTGGCTGTGTTTGCCTGTTTATTTTGAGCCTTGTTGGACTCGATCCCTAGACCTGTCAGCAGCAG